TAAGTGACTTTGTGAGCAATGTCACGAATCTTGAGTACGAGCCAGGCTTGTTAGCTGAAAAGCAACGGTGAAGGGCTTTGTTAAGCCATGGTCGATATTGATCGACTCCGGGGCGTCGGAAAATTACGTCCGACGTTGTTCCCTGGAAGGGACTCAGCAGTATGTTGAGGCGCTGAAGAGCAAAAGAGTGAGACTACACTGTTTGCTTGGCGACAGGTGCATTAGTCACTGTGCCTACAGTTCTTGTGAGCTTAGGCGTGAAGATTTCGGACTTTGACAGCACTGAATGCTGTCTAGTCCTTGACTTGGATGAGAGTTGCAATCTCATCCTTGGTATGACTTGGCTGCAACGCCATGTGCCATGGATTGATTGGAGGTCAAAGACCTTAGGCGCAACGCGCAATGTTCCTAGTGGAGATTTGGAGAGTCACAGGCCCACCTCTGCTAGGAGACAGAAACGCTATTGGCGCGAGCCACGGACTGATACAGTCAGTGTTCTGAGCATCGGTACGGATGAAATCGTTGAGTTTGACCGTGTCAAAACGTTAGTTGCGAGCCAAGCTCGTTGACTGTTAGCGAAACAAAACGTACTGTATCGAGTGATAATCGTTGTGATCACGAATCACTGGATGCTGAGTGCATTGTTAGCCTAGAGCCATGTCAGCATGGGTTAGACCCATCCGGTGAGCGTGGAGTGACACGTAAGTGCCCACTGAGTGATGTTGACCGTGATTGCGACACACTGAATGTTAGTCAAGACTTTGTTGGTAAAATTCCAAGTCATCAAGGGCAACGCCCATTTAATGAGCGTGGGGTGGCACGTATGTGACCACTGGGTGGTGATATCACTGAAAGTGACTCATCACCAGATGCCAAAAATGACATCGGGTCTGATATAGATCGAGTTAAGGTCGACGTAGTTCGTCAACTTTGGGGCGACATAGTCCCGGATATTAATAGTGACATCGGATCTGGTAATGAGCAAGTTAAGGTTGATGGTCATATTTACCTTGGGAACATTGATGTCTTGGGTGTCGGTAATGACACAGGCTCTTGTATAGAGCAAATTAAGGATGATGATGATATCAATCTTGGGACCGAGAAAGCTCCAGTCTCTTTGAGATGTTCAGTCTCGTCACAGAGACGACAGCGGTGCTAGAGTGATGTTATGCAACTCAAGGCGTCTGTTACCTCAATGAGTGATTCTAGAGAGCAGCTATAGACACTCGTTAGTGGAGTGAGCGGTAGAGTAGATGGGTCAGTGAGTCTTGAGACTCTACCCTCACTAAATGCTCTGTTAGAGCTAGACGAAATGTCTGTCGATGAGTTTGGCCTGGCCTTAAAGTCAGGTGACTTTATTAAAGTGGTGGTCATCAGACCCGATAGTGAGTTGAGCTTGTCGTCACTTCATGACGAGGCTGTCTTGGAAGACACAAAGGTGGCACTGAGTGCTCGAAATGGTTCATCGATATTGAAAGATTCTAGATACCATTTTATCCTTTGGTTAGGAAGTTTCAGGATGTGGTACGTCACGATCCACCTTCTACTCTGCCTCCTGATCAAGTCGTACGTCATGAAATGGACCTGGTTGCTGGGACCAAGTACTATGTGACACGGTAATGGCCCCTACCAAAGAAGAAGTGTAACGTCATTGAAGAGTTCTTTCCTGCAAAGCATGCTGCTATCATGGTGAGTGAGATCAAGTCTCCGTACTCGACACCAAAATTTTGTTGCAGAAATCCAAATGGCAAGCGGCGTATTGTGCATGCTTACAATAAGCTTAATACATCCACTATACCGGCACAGACTCATGTTTCTAGAAAGGATGTTCTTCAGAACGCTATGGTAGGTTGTACCATGTTCAGTGCACTCGATTTGATCGATGTAGGTAGTATCAATTGCTTATGCGAGCGAGCGGTATTCTGCTCACAGTGGTAAGTGCACTAAACGGTATGCTTGGGAGTTGCTTGTCATGTCTCAAGGGCTGTCTAATGCCCCGGCTACATCTAATCTTCTTGTGACGAAATTGTTCCGTACTCACCGAGGATATGCACAAAGCTATTTCGATTACACCTTTTTCCATAGCCGTGCAGAACATGGCAGATCAGATGTGGACAATCACATTGACCATTTACAAGCAGTGCTCGAGTGCATGCGCACGAACAAGATGTATGGAAATGCATCTGAATGAATTTTAGGTGCGGAATAAATTCCCTTTCCAGGGTTCTTCATTGGGAAGCGTGGCCTTTGAGCGGATCCCGCTAAGGTAAAGTAAATTGTTGACTGGAAGGTTCTATCGAACTAAAATGACTTGCGTAAATCGCTCGGCCTTGCTAATTACTTGCACAAGTACAGTGCAAACTACGATGACATGGCAAGGACATTGACCAACATTCTTAAGAAGGATTCAGCTCGGAGCTGGGACTCAGTCCGTACTCATGCTTTGAAGCTTTAAAGAGCAGTCTTCTTCATGCTCCAATTTTGGCTTTGCCGGACCCTGAGCGGTCTTTAAGTGTCGTATGTGACGCGTCTGATTTTGCTACTGGTTGTCCATTGTTGCAGACAGATGTCGATGGACATGAGCGCGTAATTGTGTATGAGTCTTGTCAGATACATTCTGCAGAGAAGAACTATCAAGTCCACGACAAAGAGTTACTCGCAATAAAGTACTATCTTGTTAATTTCAGAGTCCACCTCCTTGGCTCAAAGACTTTTATGATCTTAATAGCTCATGCGTCGTTACGTGCTGCGACACAGTCGCCTCACCTCTCATAGCGTATGGCCTGTAGGCTTTCATTCTTTGCTGAATACAACTTTGAGGTGAAGTACAAGCAGGACAAGCAAGACGCTTTGGCTGATGCGTTGTCAAGCAGACCTGAATATGAGCTTTCTCATGTTACGTCTCTGTCGTCCTCCATTGTGAATTTAACTTCGTGCGGCGTATGCACGTGATGAGCAATGTGTAGCATTTCCACGTGAACTTGGAAGCGAGTAGTTCCAAGAATCGGAAATCAAATTGTCGGCGCGTTTACGAGAGAGCCTGTATCGACATGCATCGATATTGGGTTGCTGTGATATTGCAAGGGTGTTGAGTATTTGCCTTGCATCGTTGTTCGTCGTGATGAGGCCTTGAAGTATTGTATCCTCATTAAGGCAAATGGCAATGTCTACGAGAGGTAATCTATGTCGTGAGAGGGCAGATATCTTAGTTAGCCAGACGTATTGGTAGCCCACGTTGTACAAGTGGGTGAGAACATATGCGCATACATGTAAAACGGGTCAACGGGTCAAACTTTCAGCACATGCGGTTGCACCGCTTGCTAGTTTTCTTGTACCCTCTGGGTGTTGTTAGTCCATCACTATGGACTTTGTGTATGGCCTACCGAAGGATTCGGACGGTAGCACTGGTATTTTGGTCTTTGTTGACAGTTTGAGCAAGACGTCTCATTTAGCGACTGTGCCTGATTCCATCGATGGCAAAGGTACAGCAAAGCTGTTTATCGACCGTGTGTTTCGTCAACACGGTTTGCCTGCGTCAATTGTGTTTGATCGTGATCCACATTTTACCGAAAAGTTTTGGACTTCTATCTCCTAGGTGCAGGGCACCAGGTTGGATATGTCCACAGCGGATCGTCCGCAGACCGGTGGTCAAACTTTGCGTGTTAAACATGTCATTGGTGACATTTTGCGCAGTTTTTGTGCTGATACGCCTAGGCGTTGGATCTCTATGCTCCCTGTGGTCGCGTGTGTTATAAACAACGCTGTTTATGCCTTTACGGGCTTTACTTCATTCTACGTGAATGGTCTCACTCGCCCACGCTGTCCGTTAACGCTTCCCCTACGTGGTTTTGGGCTTGATGGGGGAGAAACAGCCAATCGGTTTGCTGATGTCAGTCCTAATACTGTTCAGAAACAGGTGAAAGATTTTCTCGCTACGCGATTGAATGTATCACATGTACGTGACGCAATGGCTGATAGCAAGGAACAAAAAGAACAAGCTGATGCTAAAGGTAGAAAGTGTATTGAGAGTTATGGGGTTGGAGACCTGTTCTTACTTAACGCTGAAATTACATCTACCAAGGTGGTTCCAGAGGTCTGTTGAACCAATTTTCGTCCTTGCTTCATTGGGCCGTTTACGGTTGATGCCAAGAAGGGCCTAGCGTATACGCTCAACCTTCCACGCAAGATGCACACACACCCAGTGTTTTAGGTCGGCTTGTTTAAGCCTTACCTGTATCCGTCGCTGGTAGATCACGAGGCGTTCGCACTGAAGGAGTTAGCGATGCCACAAGTCGAGGAAACCTCAAGAGAAGATCCAGTTGTCCCTCAAATTCGCCACTCGGTCACGCAGACCGCGCACCTCGTGCACCTCGTGCACTAACTCCTCAACGACGCATCGGAGGTCACGGACCACCGCCCTAACTCGTTGACGATCAAGGAGATCAACAGTACCTTATTAAAAAAAACCTGCAGTGACGTCGTCGCGACGGGCAGTACCAGTACTTAGCACAGTGGTGAGGGTACCCGGAGTCGGAGACCCCATGGCAGTTTGAAGTGCCACTGCGGCAGGATTGTCCGCGTGCCGTTGGCGTTTTTATATGCCGTCTTGAGGGTCATTATACCCATACCGCTTACCATTAGTCCAGTTTGGGAGTGAAGAGGGTGGCAGCTGCAGCAGTTGCACTGATGCGCGGGTCCGTAGCTGCCGATTCATGGCGGGTGCTATAAAATGATCACAGTTAGTCTTTGGTCTTTTGCCTTTTGCTTTGCGAAAACAAAGCGCATTCGTTTATGACGAACTTCGGCAAGTGAAGCACTCTCTTGGAGATTCAACAGGCTTGACAGACGGTGAGCTCTGTGGTCCCAACGCGTGAAGATGATATTAATGTCCACCTCTGTCTCAATAGGAAAGAGAACAATGGGTATTTTCCGCATTGCGGATACTGACGCACCTTGTGCATGAGATTCAGCTTGTCGATTTCATCTTGTACGATCGCCTACTAGACCCCCAAGTATCTCGCTCTAAGAACATCCCTCTCCACTAGTGCTGTGGCTGTGAAAGCCTTGAAACCGGTGATCCACGTTGCGAGTGACTGCCCGGCAGTCTGACGAATACGCTCACCTACAGTCAGTGGAGTGAAGAGGTAGCCACTGTGAGCATCGGCTGTGGCTACAATTTGTGGTTGGCGCCTGCGATCATCGACCGACTGAAGATGTTGTGCTTCGTCTTCATCGAGAGTGTTGTGCAACATACCCGACGCAGGGTCGACGGCTGTTTTCTGTGCAATGGGTGAAGGTACCTCATTGCGTTTTACGAATGGATTCGGAGCGATGCGCGTGGTCTCACGCGCCGGTGGAGTATCTGGAGGGTGGTCGCAGATGCTCGAGGCAGCGGTGTCACTCACATAGTCCTCCATATCTTCTCCGAGGAAGTCTTCCAGGGTGTTTGATGAAGGCTTTGACTCAATCATTTGAGATGTGTTGTGAACACGATGGTCAAGGACCAGAGCTTAAACACTTTAAAGAGAAGAAGGAGAATTGTCTACACAAAGGTGTCGACAGTGTGGCGGGGGAGGGTGTAACGGAGTTACATGGCGATTATTGAACCGATGGTGTTGTGTGCTCACGCCAAGTAAAGATCGGTGAAACTGAGTGGTGCAGTATTGGTGCCACGTACTTACGGTAATACCGCACCTTATCGGGTACGGATAAGGGATCAGACTTCTATCATAGTATCGCAATGTAGAAGTCTGTCCGACAAGGTTTAATTGTTTTATTACCGTATTTAGAAAATAAATACAGTTCAATTCTCCTTTTGAATCGTTAGCTGCTAGTGCCTAGTCAAGGCATAGCGTGTTGTAAGAGTGTTAGCCTTGTGAAGGCGCTTACTCTTATTTAACTAGTAATGACCAGTTAGTGTGTGATTCTGTGAACGTAAGCCCTTTGGAACCGGGAATGTTAATCTTGTACGCTTGAATAAATGTACGTCGTTGTTATTTTGCTAAAACTAAGAGGCTCTTTGAGTCTGAGACTTCCTCTGTTAAGGAGCGCTAAGAAGCTCCGCAAGCAGATTAATTGACTATTTAGCACTACATACCTGCACGTGTGAGAATGCATCGCTCGATAGATTAGCTACAGGTTCGGCGTTCTTGTTAAGGGCCTTCCTTACGGTATCATGCAATCTTTGTACAGGAGAGCTTACGTGCATTTTCGACATTCGGATCTCGACTTCAAAATCTTTTTTTCCTGCTCCTGATCAGTCATCGCCCCATGTGTAACGGGGCACTCTTTGTCTGGGTGCCACGAAACTTCACATACACTAGTGCAGAGGAAGCTAATCAACTTGAACGAATCGGTCAAGTAAAGGTAAAAAGAAAACTGTATTTAATATCGTTAAGCTATCAACATAACTTTAATCTTTATCTAACTAATTAAAACTACGCCATCGTATGACGACAACCTGCTCACCACTCATTGCGCGCGTCAAGCAGCGATTGGTGGCAATCTATGGTTGAAATGTCTTAAATCAACCAATCTTGGAGAAGCGCATGAATATTATCCAAAAAAGGATAATATTGGTAGAATATTGTCATGTTAGATAATACTCCTATCGACACCATTTGGTGTCAATTTCATGTAACGGGCAACCCTGTTACCCCGTGTGTTGATGCTATGCGGTACTTTATGACTGACAAAATTCATAGCACAGGTGGGCCACACAGCATTCCTCGGGCCAACAGGGCCCAATTTCAAACTTCCTGGGCAATTACATTGCCAAGGAAACAAAAGAAATGACTGACCGGTTACCCTAAGTGCTGTGGAATCCAATCGTGTAGATAACGAAAGCCATTGAGCCGTAAGCAAATGGCGACGGGAGCGATTTAAAGAAGGCATCGACGATATTTATTGAATACCACTGGGGGCATGACCTGAAGCTGTGTTAAAATGCACCAGATGCCTGTTCATATTCTCTAAGTGGACGACATGAAGAAACTTGCAATATACTTTTAGACCCTAAATGCAACGGAGTAGCCCGTTACATAAAATTGACACCAAACGGTGTCGATAGGAGTATTATCTAGCATTACAATGTTCTACCGATATTATCCGGGATGGAAAATATTGAAGGAACATGATTCCCTTTTGGATAAGGTTCATGCGCTGCTCCAAGATTGGTTGATAAAAGACATATCAACCGTAGATTACCATCCATCGCTGCTAGAAGATTACAATGTGTGGTGAGCAGGGTGTCTTCATTCAACAATGTAGATTAAATTAGTTATATAGAGACTGCAGTTGTATTGATAGCTTAACGATATTCAATACAATTCTTATTTATCCTTTACTCAAACTTGCTGTTTGAGTAAATTAGCTTCCTCTGTACTAGTGTACGTGAAGTTTCATGGCACCTAGCCAAAGGGTGTCCCGTTACATCTGTTAGCACTTTTAAGTCCGTCCGACGACTACTAAGTGTCCGTTCATGATGGACATGTTGGACGTAGAAGACTACAGCTTTCACGTCATACGCGAAGGCTACTCCTATTTGAGTGAGTCAGAATGGGAGATAGTCGGCTGCATAAGTAGCCATCAGTGGCAGGTTGAAGTCCCTAAGCAGAGATTAACAGCATGTCGCTATCGACAAGTTCCTACACGGGGAACTTGCCATCAAAAGACAATAGATAGCCTTGCTACAACATCAAGGCTCGAATCAGTCGATGGGCGGGCCGAAGCACACGTGTCGACCCGAAACCTTGAAGATAGTTATCTCAAGGTACAAGGGAACACATGCAGATTCCCTGTTGAGATGGTCGTCGAGTTAGACGGCGCCATTAGAGCCCGCCACATCGAGGTGAAGGGATGCAAGTAACCTTCACCCTGTCAAATTTGACGGGACGAGCAAAGACTTGGTCTAAGGGCTCAAGCTTCACGACCCAAACGTGTTTAAGTCGTTAAATATCTTGAAGTCTCGGCTTAAAGAGACGTTTGAGACGCCGAGAGCCGAGTCATGAGCACGCTCTGCACTCTTAAGGCTAAAGCAAGGTAAGCGTGACGTGCACGCTTATGCACAGCACCTACGCTACCTTGCGATTAGCGTTACGAAAACCCTGTTGATGAGCACACGCTCATCAACGTGTTCATCTACGGTCTTGTGGATGGGCCGGTGAAGACCTACATGTTCCGTGAGGAATTTCGTACGCTGGAAAAGGTGATAGCGAACGCGGAACAAGAAGACTTCAGTCTGAGACAGTCTCAGGCTAACTCGTTAAACTATCGTCCGACGAGACGGCAGGAAACAGGAGGTCCCGAACCAATGGACCTCTGTTACTTCGAGAGCGAGAAATCTAGCTATCTGAGTCACAAGCGAACGGCAAGATGCAATCGCTGTCAGAATGTTGGACACTACGCTCATGAGTGTAGTGTCCCGAGTACTGCAACACGTCCAAAGACAGGACGTGATGACCGCCGTTGGCTAAGGAAGAGTTCTAGGCGTGGGTCCGACCATGTCGCCAAGCCGCGACAGCAAGTCAGACCTTCGATAAACGGTCAGGGTCAGTAGGGACGAAGCACCCTGTTGATACAGCAACGTCAAGAGAATTTGCAGGACTCTTGACGAAGATTGCTTTCAATACGCAGTCTCTGTGTGTTACTGCCCCTAGTGATGAGTTGTCCCTCCCTCATCACTTTGAAGATCGAAGTATCAAATCGAATGTCACTTCGCGCCCTTGTTGGTGGTGAGGCATCGAGAAACTTTGTTCGTCGCCAGTCGCTAGAGGATCAAAGGCCCAAATTCGTTGACAGCGACACTCCTTAAATGAGGATGACTGTGTTTCTTGCCACAGGCGCTTCAATAACCTTTGAGAAACGTGTAGTGGGAATCCTAAAGCACGCTGGATGATTTTCAGTACGATGATGACTCCATCGGACTGGATTTGGATGAAAAGTTTGATGACATCCTAGGGTTACCTTGGCTCAGAGTGTATGAGCCAAGAGTGAGCTGGCAGCATCGAACCGTGAAGATGCCCGTCATTTGTTCTTCGAATGGCCATCTGATGGACGTCATGGAGCGACCACAGGCTTGTGGACGTACTGCGAGTGAGTGCGATGACCTCACTTGTAGTACGGTCGTTAGAACGACTACACAAGATCGCAGTTTAGAAGACCACTACACTGTGGAACCAGCTTCCGGCACCTGAGTAGAGAGACACAGGCTGCACCGAAGATTCACCACCGAAGAGATCGAGTGGACTGGAACACGGATACACACCAAGAAGGGTGCATCCAAGGAGAGAAAATAGTACTGCGTTCAGGATGGACAACACGTTGAAGCGAGACCAACTAACAGAGAGTTGATCGCAGAGCAAGACCGCTCGACTGAAAGAGAGTCCATCGAAGAGACGTGACTGTTGTAGTGCACCCACATTCGGAACATGTTTTGAATGAAAGTTCCAGCGTTCCTGAGAGTGATAACTCCCGAGAGAGTTATTTTGAGGGTGTGTTTCCCCAACCACCTGCGGATGTGATTTGCAGGAAAGCACCGAGACTTTGAATGTCTTGGTGAATGAAGGATCAAGTGTAGGCGCTTACACACTTGATCTGGTTACACCTCCGAAGTCAGCTTCGAAGGTAATCAAGTTGCCAACGCTAGAATCTAAACGATTCTTGCGAGATCTGCGCAGTGACAAGATCAATCAGATCTGCGTACTCGTCACCGAGGACAACTACGTGACCGACATTCGGTCGGCACAAGTGTTTACTGAGAACAAATGGGTTTTCAGTAGCTCATCGATGGACGAGAGTGTCCTCGATGAGAAGACCTGGATTGAGCGATACACTTCTTAATCTTGGGAGTCTTTGAAGACAAATCCTTTGTATAAGGATTTGGTCGAATCCAGGGATGCTTTTCCTGAATCAGTGCCATGCGATCTGGTTAAGGACAAAGGCACTCGACAGGAGATCGAAATGAAAGCCGGTTCGAAGTACTGTGTCATGAAGCAGTGGCCACTGCCTCGTGAACAGGTCACAGCGACCGACGAATTCTTTGCCGATCACTTAGCGGCTGGTTATGTGAGGAAGTCAACATCCCCACACAACTCTCCGACCTTCTGTGTGCGAAAGGCCACAGGAGGGTGGCGGATAGTGCACGCGTTCAACAAATTGAATGCTGCAACGTTACCGGCTCAAACGTCGATACCAAGGAAGGACGTCATCATTGATGGTATGGCAAAAAGTGCCATGTTTTCGTCCATGGATCTGATGGATGGATTCTATCAGATCCTCATGCGTGAACGGGACGTCCCGTACAAAGCAGTGAGAACCACAAGTGGTATGCTATGGGAGTGGCTAGTTATGCCACAGAGGATAAGTAAAGCCCTCGCAACGTTCAACAGATGTGTTGCGAATCTGTTGTGATCGGTGCGCGACTTAGCACCGAGCTACTTTGACGATGTTTTCGTCCATAGCCGGGATTTGG